TATCTCACTCTGGATTAACCTGCTGGATGGATGTACAGACAGACAGACTGACCAACATCCATATCCTAAGCTTCGCCACTATTTTGGGAAAAAATAACAAAAGTGTGTTTTCCAATTGAAGTTTCATGGTGAAACCTTTTCTAGAGTGTCATCAAACCATCTGCATGAAAAGAGGAACCTGCTGTGTCTTTGAGACTTTGAGTAATTTGCACAGACATTACACAGACAGACGGAGACATATCTTACCTGCAGGAGTCACTGTCACAGCAGCAGTCTGTGACTGGCTGTTGGTCTTGCTATTGATTTTCCATTCAGACACAGTACACTGGTAGACACCTGAATCAGAAGGTGTGACTTCATCAAGCTCGAGGGTGAAGTTGGCAATAGTGGGACGCGTTGCCTTCACTTTGCGACTCATGAACTCTGCCGCTGTATCCATGACACCCTCCTGACTCAGACTGATGACATTAGTGAACACGGCCGTTGATGAGGATGTTGCTTTGTGTTGCCAGGTGACAGAGAGCTGACTTTTGACCCCATGCACTTGACAGGTGAGCTTCAGCCTGTCACCTTCATTAACGCTTACATCGTGCTCATCCATTCTGAGTGAGAACCCACTTTCTGTGATGAGATAGAGAAACAGACAGATGGCATGAGTGTGTTTGAGAGGATAATAATAGAAAACAATAACATCTTTATAAATAATATTATCTTATTATTTTAATAACAACATTATATTTTTTAAATCATCAATTAAAACACATACAATTAAAAAGATAAAACTTCAAATGCAGGCTAAATCATACAGATGATAAATTTAAACCACAGCTAAAATGTCTGTGTGTCTGGATGGGCTCAATTGCTGACCTGTGGCTGAGATGCTGACTATCTGGGGGCTGGAGTCCTGGGCTGCTCCCTGTGTAAAGGCACCATCCGGGCCTCTTTCCTGAGGCCATGCTCTACAGATATACTCTCCTTGGTCCTCGGTTCTGACAGGCTGCAATATGAGACGGTAATCTCTGTCCCCTGTACGGGCTGCCCTGAGCTCTCCTTCTTTCGCTCGCACGCTGTACTCGGGCCCCACAGACACAATGCCTGAAGGGCCGATGCGGGCCAACTCAACACTTTCCTTGAGCCAGGCTACAGAGAAGAACTTTTCCCTCAGGTTCTGTGCGTCTATGGTGCAGGACAGCGATAGCTCCTGCCCCTCCTGTAGGGTTGTCGGCTGTGCTAAGATTCTCACCACCAGAGACGACGTGTCTGGCACCACCTCTGCTCAAGGTAAAAAAATAAAGTTAAATAAAGTAAAACACATATATCCTGTCAAGAAGCCACAAAAACTGTGTGGAGGAAGAGCAAACATAAATGTGTTAATCCATAGGGATGTGTTGGGTATATAATCAATTAAATGAGCTACTTCTCACCTCTGGCTTTCACAGTCAGGGTACTTTTCTCTGCAGCCTTCTGTACGATAGAGTACCAGGACCGATCAGGATCTTGGATCCACTCCTGAGCCTGGCAGTAGATTCTGCCTTGGTCTGACAGCTCCAGCTGAGCCATCTTTAGCTTATATGTGGCCTCTCCAATTTTATCTAACCTTATGAGTCCAGCTTGGTAACGCTCTTCAAACCCCCGGCCTGGGCTCAGTGTGAAATCTCTGTTCACAGAAATGATAGGTTGAGCTTCGTCCTCGCTGTCTTTATGGAGATACCAGGCAAGAGACAGATGGGTGTGCTGGACGGTGTTGCTGGAGGCTTGGCATGTCAAAGTGAGAGCATCACCCTCATTATAGCTCAGTGAGGCAGAGGCAGGTGATGAAACACTTAAGGAGTTGTCAATTACTATGGCAACACATCAGAAACAGACAGAAAGACACGAAAGTCATACATTTGCTGTCTTACAATACACAAATGCAGTTACATTGAAAACTCAAAAGTAGAATGGTGACCAATTACCTTTCACTGTTGTCTTTGCACTGTAGGTTCCATCAAAACGATCTTCTGAGTTGATTGCAGTACAGTCAAACTCCCCCTCATCACTTTTTTGTAGGCTGTCTATCTTAAAGATGACTGAGGTTGAAGACATGTTTGTCAGAGTAATTTCCTTCTTCCTCACACGTTGTGAATACATGGCATAGCCGAAGGTTTGGTCAGTGGTACTGATGATGTTGATCTCAATGTTTGGATTTGCAGGCTTCGTGATACGGTACTCAAACTCTTGTTTAGCATCGGCATTGGCAAAGCCGCTCACATTGCAGGAGATGAAGAGCGGGTAGCCCACCACCCGATACAGAGGCCCAGCTTGTGCTTCTGTGAGCACTCTGGCTTCTCCTGAATGAGGACCAGACAAAACCCCAGATGCTGAAGTCAGTTGAGTGCTGCAACTTAAAGGATCAGTCATGTTTTATAAGGATGCTACACTCCAGAGTCGAACCTTTGTGTCAGATTGTATAATATGTAAAGCAAAACTATGTAGCCTTCAAGTTGTTATGCACATTTCAATAAATATCAACTTTTTCAGTCTTTTCCAAATGAGATTGAGATCAAATGAGATGAGGGTATAAAAAAAAGTTACCAACATTTTTTTTAGATACATTTAGCTTAATAGGCTGTATATATACTATTAGTGTTTCTTATGACCTGTTATTTAGTAATGGTATATTCAAGATGGACATAAAGACACAACCAACAACACCATGTTTCTTATTTTTTGTTACCTGCTTTCTTTAAAATGACTTTCCTGTTCTGGCTCTTTAAAAGAAGGAATATCTATTTTACAAAATAAATATCTAATATTCTACCATGTTTTCCCTCAGCATGATCACTCAACAGAATCCAATTCAACTGCAGGAATTAAATGTACTACTTACCATACTGCAGAAATAGCCCCAGACAAAGGAGCAAATTGGCCCTCCAAAACGATAGCAGGAAACAGCTCATCCTGAACCGGCTTCAGAGGTTACGCAGTGTTCACACCAGTTGAGACTGAGCCCTTAGTCAGCCTCAGTGTGCGCAAAGCTGTCTCGGCTCTTGCAGAGATATTGAAGGAGTTGCTTCCTGTAGGTAGCCAAGAGGAAGTCTATAATATTTCCTGCACACGGTCGCAGCATACTATAGACCAACTGTGCCTATATTTGATCATTACCACATATGTGTCAAAATATACATGTGCAGGTGGTTTGTGGGGGGTTTTTTAAAAATCATTTTCAAAGGCAGATCCATAAAAAAATTATGTACACTTTTGAGTTTGACTTCAATTGGGGGTTGACATCGATCCCTGTCGTGGTCGGAAAAATAACACTGTCCTCGTTTGGGTTCATGTGCATCAATAACTGTTACAATGTGAAGTGAAGTGAAGTGAAGTGATACCCTGCGGTGGTTGGTCTGGTGATGCACTCTATCGGCATCTTCACAGAGCGACACCTCTCCGTGTCTAAAGGTTTTTGCCCATGGAACGAACTACACCATCCATTGTTTTTCATTTCAGGATAAAATATGTGTAACTTTAGCTTTTCCAGAATTAGACTGATCATTTACACGATTAACAGTATCATTAATTACAATATCACTTAATACCAAGTCCGAGCTATTACGGCAAACGCTGAAACAGGGAAGAAGTCTGGGCTCGTTTACGTTGGAGTGTAAATGGTGTTTGAAACAAATGAGGCAATAGTGACACACAGTGGAGGAGATTAAAGCATACATGTCTGCTACAGCTGTGACTTTCACTTTCACATGGTCTGAGCTATTGCTTTTATTGTGTAAATAAATGCTGGGGAATTTGAAGCAGAGGAAGAGCACAAGGGAGAACATCTCTGTGTTTGAGGACAGAGCTGGGTCAAATTGTATTCTCTTTTGGTTTTTCTATTTGGTTTTTCTATTAATTGAGAGAGAAAGATAAGATGAGGGGAAACGTAGGAGGTAAAAAATAAGGATAATGTGTGATAATGATGTGCAAATATTTGTGTAGAAGAAATCCAGAAACAGTACAACTCTGGCAATTACGTGTGAACTATAATATAGGTATAAGTAGAAATAATAAATACGATATACGTGTTAAAATACTATAAAGTACATATTGATATATATATATATATATATATACAGTAAAACACACTACACAAAAACAATACAATTATATATATATAACATAAGTATGTTGTAATAATAAAAATAATGCAATGATAGACAAAACAGGATGTAGCTGTATAATTCTGTTATAGTGATTTAAGTCATCTAAAGCAATTTAGTGGTAACAGTAAAAATAGATTATAGCAGGTAAATAAGAAATAAAACGCTGCTACAAAGCTTTTCTCTTATCTTTGACTGGATACTTTTACCTCTTCAGGCCTTTAAAAACTTTTAAAATTAAACAATCTGAGAATCCGATTGCAACCCAAAGACATATGCAACCTGTGCAAAGGAGTCACTTGTCAACACTCATTCACTTCAAAGGTTCATAAGCCACAAAGGCTGGGAACCACTGCATTTGGGGATTAAGGGCCTCATGCAGAAGCAACTCACTTGTGATAACAGGGGAAAGGCTAAACCTGCTCTCTTTCTCTCCCTGCCCGGGTTCATCCTGCTGGTTCGGGGATCAAATGGGCCACCTGCCGATCACAAGCCACTATCCTGTGATTATGATCAGTTTTATCCCACTTAGGTGCCGGAATGGTGGAGTGTTGTAAGACTAAACAAGAAGTGAGTTCATGTTGGTAGCAAATTTATGGCCTCACAACATCATACAGTATTTAAAAAATGTATTCAAGATTAAACACATTAATTACACTTTCATCCTAAGCAGATAAGAGTGTTATTTTTGTAGTATTCTCTATTTGGTGTGGTCTGGGTGAAGGAGCCCTGGCGACTGCGGTTCTGAGTAAAGAGGAAAATTGAGTAACTTAGGGCAGCAGAACAAGACACAAGAAGGGGAAGTGTCTAGAAACAAGCATTGCTACATACGTATGTTCCTCTCAAAACAGGAATAGGAAGTATGAAGAGCACAGGAAAAAACAAATCCACATCTCAGAGCGATACAACTGCAAGCATAACCACAGGCCTTTTTGCTAGTGCAGGTGCACCTGAAGTCGCTGCACGCTGTTCAGAGAAGAGTGAGTTTCTAAAGAGCTTCTGGTGTACAAGATGAGTGCCTCACTGGAAAGGACTACAGACTGTCCCTTGCCGCTTCTCAGAGATGACTCCAGCCCAGATGAGGAGAGAGAGAACCTGACAGGCTCAAGTGAGTTACGTTGGGAGGATGGAGGTCTACCTTTGGAGCTGCAGAGAGGCATGGAAACCCTACGAGTGAACAGGGAACTGACTGATGTGGTGCTGTGTGTTCAGGGACATGACTTCCCTTGTCATAGAGCCATACTCGCAGCTGCCAGTCACTACTTCAGGTAAGAATTCATCTAGCATTGTCAAACTCTATAGGGATGGCACTGCTGGTTTTACTGAATTATGGTTCTTCTCCGTAGGGCAATGTTTTGCAGTGGTCTGAAGGAGAGTCATGAGGAGCGTGTGGAAATAAAGGGGTTGGACAGTGGGACGATGCGCTCTCTCCTGGAGTATACCTACACCAGCCGAGCCATCCTTACACACTCAAATGTCCAGAGAATACTAGAAGCTGCCAGTCAGTTTCAGGTAAAACGACAATAAAGTTAAAGAGGATATTTGAGTTTTTTTACTTTGCACAATCATCATCTGATACACGGTTCCCTTTAAATCTTGAGCACATTGTCTGCAGCTATCATTTGCATTACCAGTTAATTGCCAGTAAAGACAAAAAGTTCTGCATAATTTGTAAATATTTATTTTGGACTGTAATTATAAAAAGATATTAAAAAGAAATCTAAAAAGATTTTTGATATAATTGTAACATGTCTTTTATGTAAAGTACAGACTTCAAAGACCTAATCCTAAAGCAAACATTGCATAAATTGCTCATGTCCTCAAAACATAAAAGAACCAGTTAAGAAAGTTTAGTTTTAGCTTGATACATTTTTTAATCAGATTTGTTACATCGTGTGATTCTTTAGTGAAAGTAAAAGCATAAACTCCCAGAATTAGAGTCACAACAGCTTCAGTATCCTTGATATTCAAGGCATTTTAATTCAGTGTGATTGAATTATAAGTGCATTTTGCTGATAATACTTACATTTACAATACAAGCCTGCATCATACAGAATTAGCAGCAAAAATCTCAATAAATGTAGAAAATCATTCTTTGTTTACATTCAGACAGACAGGGTCTATTACAGTGATGATTCTTATTATTACTGTTATGACCCTGCTGTAGTGTACAACTAACCTACATTTAAAATCCTCCCAATTGTTCTGTTCTTCTAACTTTAGACAGTTGTTTTTCCCCCACTCAGTGGAACAGACGTTTTACTGGTTAAGAGACAAGTTGCCGTAAAAGGGAAGTGAAAGTAGCCCAGTTGTTTACACTCAGGATCAGTTTTCCATACAGGCTTAAATTAACTACACAGCTGTGCCAACAGAGGAGGCAGATGTTTGTATAACTCTATTTTTGTGACAATCAAGTTAAGTTTTAGATTATGACGGTAAAAGGTTCCTGGCATTACTTCTTCAGCAGGCTGATATCAGGGTTGAGGTTAGAAATACAGTCTGATTATAATTTGTGTACATGAGGATATGCATGTAATAATAATAACTTTATTTCTGTAGCACTTTTCTAAATAGAGTTACAAAGCTAAAAAAATAGTTTTTTAAAAAAATTAAAAAAAAAATTTTAAAAAAAAAAAAAAAAAAAAAAAAAAAAAAAAAAAAAAAAAAAATTTATTGTTCAGGCTTATGGCAAGAATTCTCAAGCTTGTATGGCACCATTTCTGTGTTTTTCATGTTGTCTTGTCAATTTTACCTTTGCATACTTTCATAAATACTTGTAGGGCTACAGCTCAGCACTCTAAGAAATCATGCAGCTTTATCTTCCTATTAATGGGTTGGGGTTGGTATTCATTATTGAGAGTATTGAGAAACTCCGTCTTTGGGCATCATTGAATGCTAACTCAATTTCCAACATAAAAGTGATAGTGGCCTGATTCCTATGCTGTTTCTTACAGTTCCTGCGTGTGGTGGATGCATGTGCTGGCTTTCTGAACAAGTCCCTGCATCTAGAGAGTTGCATTGGGATCCTCAATCTTGCTGAAAGCCACGCTCTACCGTCACTGAAGACCGGGGCTCAGGACTACATCACCTCTCACTTCTCCGAGGTGGTCCAGCAGCAGGACTTCCTGGATCTGCCAGCAGACTCGCTAGAGAATGTCCTGCAGAGTGACAAACTTGACGTGAAGTGTGAGGAGTGTGTTTTTGAGGCACTCATGCGATGGGTGAGGGCCCAACAGGATGAACGATACCCTTTACTGGCCAGGTTGCTTTCACATGTTCGACTGCCACTGCTGGAGCCTGCATACTTTGTAGAAAAAGTGGAGTCGGATGAACTGATTCGCCGCTGCAGTGAGGCTTTTCCTTTGTTGCAAGAAGCCCGCACCTATCACCTGTCCGGCAGGGAGGTCAGTATACAGGGAGGACCTAAAGTGTTGTTGATGATGTTATTTTACAAAATGCTGCTACACTATGGAAACAATGCTTTATCCAACATTTAGAGGTGGCATTAGAAGATATAAGAAGAAGATATGTAGATGCCTGTGTAAAAAAACAACCCAGTAAAAGTACTGATTCAACTTATTTACTCTAGTAAAAGCACAGGCTCCGAGATTTACTCTAAGTATAAAAGCAAAAAGTGCTCTCTTGGTCTTGATGTGTCGTGATGTTAGGGAGGTGTGCTAAAGTAATGAGTCTGTTTTAGAAATGCAAAGAGTATAAATTATATAAAAGTGTAAAAGTTAAAAGTTAAAATTAAAAAAAAAAAAATTCAAGTACAGATACCCTGAAAAAAACTACTTAAAGGTCCAGTTTGTAACATTTAGGAGGATCTATTGGCATAAATGGAATATAATATCAACAACTATATTGGTATGTGTTTATAATTACCCGAAAAGAGGAATTATTATGTTTTTGTTACCTTGAATGAGCCTTTTTTCATCTACAGAGGGGTCCATCATGCTGATCCGCCATGTTAGTAACTCAGAAGAGACAAACCAAACACGGGTTTAAGATAGGGGTGTTTGTGTTTGTGTTTTTCCGTGTTTTGTATCCACTGTAGATTTTCCTTCTCACGTGGAAGGGGAGGGTGAAGCAAGGGAGTTGCGTTTTGGAACTACACAGCTCGATGCCACTAAATCCTAAATTGGACCATAAATACAGTATAGCAAAGTATTGTACTTTGTGCTTCCCACCTCTGCCAACTGTGCCAAACTTTTGTCTATAATTTATGCACTGAGACAAAGAACAAAATTCTGGACCTTTCTAGTATGTTATAGTAGTTTGAGGGCCCTGCATAACCACCCACCCCAACTCTCACACCCCTGTGCCTACCTTATTTTGTGATAAAAATGACTGCTATATTTCATGCTTTTAGAGCTTATTGTGCTTTATGCATGCATGTTTACAGGTGGTCTCTGAAAGAACCAAACCGCGCGAGAAACACTTCCTATCAGAGGTGTTCCTGATAATTGGAGGCTGCACTAAAGATGAACGCTTCATTTCCACTGTCACCTGTTTGGACCCCCTCAGACGCAGCAGGCTGGAAGTTGCCAGGCTGCCAATCACAGAGATGGAGGACGAATCCCAAAACAGAAAATGGGTGGAGTTTGCCTGCATCACCTTCCGCAATGAAGTGTACATATCTGGTGAGAGAAGTCATGTATTCATGTTTTTTCCATAAAAGGCTTACTGTGATATGCGTAGGCGACCCTCTGCGGTCCAGATGAAAGTGAAACTGTACTCACTATGTAGCCAATCTGCCAAGTTATTGTGTAAATCCTCTCATCGCTTATTTTTTTTCTCGCATCTTCATCATGTGAACAGCTTGTTGTAAATGTTGGGTACTTATTTAAATGTGATGCTGTTTTAATCAGTAAATCCATAGTGTACAACTGAACAAAACAACAGGAAGATGTGAGATCATCTGCAGTAACGGTTGTAGTTTTTTAGGTGTTTCCCAGCTCAGGAACTGACACTAAGCCATTAACTGCTTTACTGTTCAGCATCACTGTGAAAGTTCATGTTTTTGATTGAAGTGGGCAGCCCAATGTAGAACAGATACAGTCATATTAGTAATGATTCAGTGACACAGCAGTGTTTTGGGATGAAAGCTAGTCTGTACAGCAGGTGACTAATACTCCTGTTGTTGCAGGAGGTAAAGAGACACAGCATGATGTCTGGAAATATAATGGCGCCCTAGACAAGTGGATCCAGATTGAGGCGCTGACAACTGGGCGCTGGAGACACAAGATGGCAGTTCATGGGGGGAAGGTGTACGCACTGGGTGGATTTGATGGTGTTCAGAGACTTGCTAGTGTTGAGGCCTATGATCCTTTTCACAATCGCTGGACACAGGTAAACATACATGAATAATATATTTATGTGGTGCTGTTGTGTAACTTTACACTAAATGTTCCTCGAAGCAGCTGAAATTAATTGATTTAAAATAACCCTATGTGAAAGGTGTCGCTCGTGGTGAGAATTCCACAGAGGGTTATCACCTGACTCTGCAGTTCCCCTCAGCTCTACAAAGGGTCTTTCAGTTCATTGTTTTAGCTTTCCAGCCCGCAACTTCACTTTTGATTCCTTCTCACTGCTCTCGTCAGCCTTGTTTCCACTCACAGCAACAATCTGTTTTCAAAAAGCTGTTAAGCTTGTTAATTACAATACAAAATATTATTGTGTTCAATACGGTTAAATACTGTACATCTGACACTCCATAACATGTACTGTTTTAAACCATATACCTCACATATTTACCACCATGCCTGTCTGCTTGTACTTCATTACTGTACATACTTCCTTTGATGCCCTTTTGGCTGTACTTGCAGGTGACACCTCTTGCAGTAGGTGTGAGCTCCTTTGCTGCTGCAAGCTTTGACAGATGGATCTATGTGATTGGTGGTGGGCCCAATGGAAAGCTGGCAACTGATCAGGTCCAGTGCTGGGAACCTGGGACAGACTGCTGGGAACTGCGGGCTCCCATTCCCATCGAAACCAAATGCACTAATGCAGTCACATTCAAGAACTGCATTTATATAGTTGGTAAGTTGGCAGTGGATGGTACCATTTACTTACGTACTGTAAATTTGAGGTATTTGTACTTCACATCCATGCTTCTTTTTACCTCTATTACAATTCAGGGAAATGTCTTAGCACATTTATTTGGCGCCTTTAGTTACTAGTTACTTTGCAAATTAAACTTTTACAGAACATATGAGCTCATTAAATTAATAAGTACCATTACCTCAAAACATCCAATAATAACCTATAATGTATAATGGTATAAAATTCACTGGGCACATTTTGGTGCATTAAGAGTACTTTTGCTTTTGATATTTGAAGAATATTTGACTAAGAAGCCTTTTGTACTTTTACTTGAATCACATTTTCAATGCAGGATATTTATTTATAATGGAGTATTTTTATATTATTGTATCACTAACTTTGCCTATAAGTATATGAGCTAAATACCTATTTAAGATTATATAAAAGTTTCATTCTTTCAAAACTTGCTCAAATAATAGTTTTTTAAGAATGTGGACATCTGTGTCTGGTGTCTTGTGTGAGAAATGGTGACACGTGAATATATTTATTAACCTTAATATGGTTACTGTTCAATTCTCTGTCTGCTCCCAGGTGGTGCCATGCATGCCATGTACTGCTACTCACCTCTGTCAGACTCCTGGTCCCTTGTAACCCGTCTGGGGGAGAGGGCAAGCTGTGCTATTGCTGCCTGTAACAACAAACTCTTCATCACTGGGGGACGGGATAACAAGAACCAAGTCATTTCCACAGTGATGTGCTGGGACGTTGGCCGTGGGGTGTTGACGGAGGAGTGTGTTTTACCTATGGGAGTGTCGCACCATGGCAGTGTGACACTGATGAAGTCCTACACACACATACACAGAGTAACACCTGCTGAGTGCCAGTGACACAGGCTTCTGTTAACAGGACATTACTGATGTTGAGAGAATGGCTGAAAAGGGAAATAAAGTGACAGAAAAGGGAACAATCAACTACTAGGTGTGAATCACTCCTTTAGCTGTATAATGTCATATTAGAGCAGCAATTCTTGAAACTTGATTTAATACTGAAATAAATGAATGAAATAAAAACTACAGTATATATAAGACTATTTAAGGTGTTTGATACCAAGAAATACATTGTTTTATGGCTTTTTACAGTTAAGTAAGTAATGAAATGGAAACTGAATAGAGCAATATTTGGATGAAATAAATACATGCATATTAAAAACTAATAATATGTACAACAACAACACTATGTGTGCCTTTCATTGAGGAAGGTTTTTTATTCACACAGTTTGTCATCATCTCAGCATTGGACTCACAGGGTTCAGGGTGCTAACAGTTTAAAAACAGGGAGATAACAATAGAGGGTGTGTTTTAAAAAATTACAAACATTTGAGTCAAACTAATCACTCATCATACTGTCTTTATGAGACACACAGTTACTGTATTATTTACAGGTATTCCACTCAATTCAATTCAATTCAATTCAATTCAAATGGACTTTATTGGCATTTGAAACAGACGTTTACATTGACAAAGCAATAGTAAAATATACATACAAATAAAAATAAATCAATAAAATATAAAATGAAAAGAAGACCTTGAAAGGTAGCAAAACTTTCTCTCTAGATCACCCATCTGTCAAACTGAATCTGGCGTTGAGCCCATAAACCAGTGCTTGCTTCCGGTAGGCTATATTTTTCAAATTAAAGTAGGCTACTGCTATAAGGTGAAAAGTCAAAGATGAAAACTCACTGCAAAATTGTACAAAGTTTATGTGGGGAAAAAAATTTTTGTGTTTGTTTACGTGGCCACCTCAATACTGAACAGTGGTAGAAAGTAACTACTGGTAGGTAGTAGTACTTGTTTATCCTACAGTTTTGAGATATCTGCCTACTTTACTTCTGTATTTCCACTGCAATTCACAGGCAACTTTACTTTCCACACCACTACATTTATTTGATAACTTGAGTAAGTTGTTACTTTCAGATTAATAATCATTAATATTAACAATTAGCTATTATATTAATATATTTAGAGTAGCCTTTATGATTCTGAAATGGGCAATTCTGTATAAATGAGAACTTTTACTGTTGGTATTTTAACTATATTTTGATGCTAATACTTTTATTTTTTCTTAATTAATATTTCAAATGCAGGACTTTTACTTTTAACAGACTAATTGTGCTCGTAGAAGATCTGAGTATTTCTTCCACCGAAGATACTGAAATTGTGCCTCTACATGAAAATTATGTTTTAATGTTTTTCGCACATTCCAAAGATTATGGACATGATTTGTTAAAGGTCATTGTTAGTATTGTTAATGTGTAGGTTACCTATTAAACAATGATCAGGTTTTGAACAATTAGTTTGAAAATCAAAAAACCGGAAGCTCTCAGGTGACACCTGTACATTTTTTTCCTCTTTGGACAGTAACTTTCGCTCGGGGAGTTTTTCCGACGTTTGAAGTTAACTTGCGGTTAACTTATGTAGGTTCTCCTGAGAGTTTTGTTTAATGCAAACAGGTTCAAGGAATAATAACAACCAAGAAGCTTTTCGACATATTATAACTGTTTATAGGCTACCTGCGACATCTGCGACGACAAAGTGAAAGTAACACCTGAATTCCTGTTTTTCTGAAATGGCCCCTCGGTTTTTCGTGGCCTATTTTATCTTCACCTCTGGCCTAGGTGAGTTTGTCTGCGGATTATGGCTGTGCTGATTTTCGTTTGACACTTTGGTGTCGACATGAAGTGCAGTCATTGCAGACCTGCCGTGATAAGTTAATGATTCATTTAAAGGAGGCCTATTCCAGTCCGTATTTTCTGTCTGTAGTAGGCATTAATTAGTATTGAGTATGTTTCTGAACTCCCTTGGTTAAAAAGCTCAATTAAGACTGTTTATAGCTTTTCTTACTCTTAATAAAGTAATAGGCGTGTGTGTGTGTGTGTGTGTGTGTGTGTGTGTGTGTGTGTGTGTCTATTATCTGTAAACTATTTACTTTTAATTTAAAGACTATTATTGACTTTGACTTTCACCTGTCCAATCTAACAATAAAACAACCCTGTAGTTATCCCACCATGTCTTTGCTAAGCTGTCATTTTTGTTTCACACTATAAACTATCAACTACTGTCAGAGAGATATAATGTGGTAGATTTTGAAGATGTAGTGTGTGTATTGTTATTATGGACTGAAGTACACTGAAAGGTTTGACATAATACAATTGACTTGTGATCTGTTCGGTAGCCTTTTATGGAGTTTTCAACTGCATTTCATGGTCTTCATCAGTAGATGGAGTTTGCTCAGCTGACATAGACATGGCTCAGTTAGGGAAAACCCAATGATATGTCATCAAACAACAAATTTGATGACACTCTTAAAGATATTTAGTTTATCACATAATGCAAAGAAAAGCAAGAAATTCAGTTTAGAAGCTGAATGTTGAAACATTACAATTAACATAAAAGCTGTCTATGTTATTATTATTGTGATTATTTTATCTTTTTAAAGATTTTTTTGGCCTTTTTGCTAAGATGAATTTGTCTACAACTACAAATTATTTCTAAGGTCAAGAATCAACTTTGCATTTTTAATATTTTTCCCCACCTCCATTAACTATTACTTCACAAACATACATTAGAGATTCCAACTATTAGAAACAGTTCTCTATGATTCAGTCCACATAACTAACTAACTAACACCTCTGTCACAGTGTCAGACAGTTTAGAACATTATAGGATTTATTGCATATTTATTTGTATTGGACTTACATTGTACTGGTGTACTAAATTGGCAACTCAATGTATTGCTGAGCCCTTGTCAACTTACTCATCAATGTTTAAAATATACTTAACTCTTTCACACATTATGTTTCTATACATTTCTATTCTTTGTGTCTAGTTGCTGGAGTGACTGTATATCAACTCAAGGGGGAGGAGTTCAGCTTTAAACCACACATCACTGGACAACCTAATAACATTTTGTGGAAACATAACGGCAACAAAGTGGTAGAGTTTGATGGCATCGAGCAACAGGAGTACAGCACGTATAAAGACAGGGTCATCCTTGACTGGCACGCTGCTGTACTCAACATCTCTGACCTCAGATTTGATGACAGTGGAGACTATGAGTTGGAAGCGTTCAAGCCCGGAGGGAATTTGGAGAGTTCACGTTTTAACTTGATGGTCATAGGTAAGGTTTCTTTTACTACTGTTTGTGTGTTTATATTTAGTTAAGCAATCGACATTAGTACATGCACTCTGTAACTGGAAGTTGATGGGTTGCTATAGCAACTCCGTGCCCTCCAAGTCGTGGATAAAAGCTTTCTTTATTGTCAGCGATCTGTGTCTGCAATGGGAAATGGTGTGCATACAATACATGCTCAGTGACTTTACCAGTTGCAACGTTATAAAGTGACAAAGAGGATGCTGATAAAAGAAATTTAGTCCTTGCTGCTGCAGCCATGGGTTCCTTTGCTGCGTGTGATCCCCTCTCTCTACCCACTGTCCTGTCTATCTTCAGCTGTCCTCTCCAATAAAGGGAAAAAGCCCCAAAAACAATATGAATGAAAAAAAAGGAAAAGAATTAAAATTAAAAACCTGTGGGCTAGTGCAAGCTACAGAGGAGCCTCGAAGAAAACCTGCCGCAGCTGACAAGAAAACGTTGACATGTCAGATTTATCTTCCAGCAGTCTGGTTGAGAATGTGTTGCATTAAGCAACAAAGAATGAGGGGAAGTTTCTGTGGTCAGATGTTCAAGGCTGAAACAGAGTCAAGGCTGTTGTGTTGCAAAAGGTGCTTTTACCAAGTATTAGTATTAGTAGGTGGTGAGTTGTATTGTCAATTCAGTTGAGATTAATTTATAGGAATTTGGTTTCAAGAGTCCTTTTATTAGTTGATTCATTTCAGAAAGTTTGACTCATGACTATAAAACAATAAAACCTGAAAGGGATGTGGTAGGAGGGAATATTGTTATAGCCACTGAACCTTTGGCAGTATTTGAATTAATTCTGTAGTTAATTTTTGATTTGCATTTGTATTTAAAGTTGGCAATCAAGAAAATCGTTAATAGTTGTATTTTTTTAAAACACAATAAATCATTTACTGTAAACAGAATGACAAGAAACGGTTTGGACTTGTTCAGACAACAAGCTGCATGATGTTGCTTTCACTCTCGGGATTTATTATAATATTTATTATTATTATTATTATTATTATTATTATTTATTTGGTTTCATTCATGTGTCTTTCATGTATATCTCATATCTCTTCCTTTCTGATAAGCACTTTATGACCTTTATAGTTAGGTTTCAATTCAAAGGGTGGACCCAAACGCATGAGACAGATAAAAGTTTTAACAGATTTATTGGGAATACTCCGATAAGAAGGGATGGCTGGCAGTGGCAGTGGGGTAAGGAGCGAGGGTGTGGAAAGGAAAGTACACAAACAATATATCATAAAAATAAAAAAAACTACAGAACACTGCAACTGAGCTAGACTACCACTGTAGCAACCACCTGGCACTGGATGGTATTACCAGTTGTGTTAAGCTGATTGCAGACAGGTGCACAGAGAAGTAGAGCTGGGAGCCAGAAGGGAAGCCATGCCCACAACACATACAGAGACAAAGAGAGTCGGTGCATGACAGTTATCCATAAAAGAATCATTTATTTACTCATTTAGGTTTGCATTCATTTATTAATTTCCATCTATGTCTTCATATAGACAAGGTTGCCAAGCCCATCATATCCTGTGAGATGAACAATGGCAGCATCATATCTGGAACACTGATGTGCTCTGCAGAGCCCAGACACCCTCCATCCTTAATGAAGTTTGAGTGGAGCTCGAGTGGAGATGTGCAGCCTGGCCCAAAGTTAACCATAAACCTCGGAGAGAAACTTGATGATGAAGTGTACACTTGTAGTGTGAGCAACCCTCTGAGTACAGAAACAGGTACATTCACTGCAAAGGATTGCTACCCAGGTAGGATTTCACTAATGTATTCGCTGTGTTGTATTTTTATAATGTATTTATTCATTTCAAGCAAATAAAGGTAAAGGTCATGCAGCTGCTTGTTGCTTTTGTTTGACTTTTGTGTTTTTTCAGCAGATAAAAGTTCAAATGTAGCAGCGATTGTCATCTCTATATTGCTTTTACTTTTCATCATCATTGGCCTGGCCGTTTTCTGCATAATAAAGAAGAAAGGTAAATTGCTGTTACTCAAAAAAGGACATAAACCATAGGAATTGATTCCAAATACTCTTAAGAAACTATTTACAGTAGTAACTGTAAATAGTCAGTGTATTCTCAAAGCTATTTTGTTGTTTCAACTGTTTGCATAGAAAGTAAAAAATGTTTTGTAATGACCACTGAACACTTGCTGCTGTTCCATAAATGAGTAATTACCCACACCTCTATGACGAGTAACCTAAAAAGTGTTCTTTCTTTATTTTCTTTGCTACCTTGTCATTCCAGCATGTACAAGAAAAGGAAATGATTTGGAAAATCAGCTACTACGTGGCCCACCAGAAGGTATGATATGTTTTCAGTGAACATTTAGAGATTAGAGAACAAACAGTGGAAATAAGCAATGAACACAAACATGCTCAAGTTATAGACAATAATATGATGCATATGTCAAATCTATTTTTTTTCAAGTCAGTGATATAGGTCATGAGAAAACAGCATTTTGAACAATGTAAAGGAGTTCTGTATTTGGAAGCAGCACTAATTGGGCCCTCGCTTATCTGAATGGAATGAATGGACATATCTGACTGGCAGTCGCCAGGAGACAGCAATAGTGGCGGATACTTTACCTGTTGACTTCTTGTACCACGACCTACATTTCCAACAAATTTTATTGCGATTCTGATAATGGACTGAAACTGTGAAGCATCCTTTTTTAAATGTATTTTTCTTCCCTTTTTCTTTTTGGCAGAGACGAAGCTCCTAAATGGCAGACCAGAAGAAGGTATGGCAGATAAAGGTGGGGGAATTATAACTGATACATGCTACTGTATAAAAAATTGTTGTGATTTTATTTTGATATCTGGATCTAAAATTGCTTCCACACCAACAACACCTGCACATGAAGACCCGGGTCGAGAAGAAGAGGGAACACCCTGGCATGGCTCAGGTGAGTCTGAGGAGCAGTCAGACCTCAGCACAGCAGAGACTGGTAAAGGTGAGGGAATTATAACTGATACATGCTGCTGTATAAAAGTTATTTATTTTGACATCTGGATCTAAAATTGCTTCATAAAGGGTTTTTTTTTGTCTCTGATTATAGATAATCTGATCAATGAAACTTACATTTTTATTTTCTTCCTCTTCTTTTTGGCAGGAACTGAATGCAATGTAAAGCTCCTAGAGAAAGGTAACTCATAGTGATTTTAGTGTTATAACTGATGAATTATATAAAGGTTGTTGCAATTTTATTTTGACAGTTCTGACTGTTGATTCTTTACAGGCAATGTCGCGGCTAAGAGAAAAATGTATGAGTCAGAGAATGGAGGTAAGTTTTTGTTTTTAATTATAGATAATCTGATCAATGAAACTAATAATATTAGACACTTAATCAAACTGTTTTATTCATATTTAATTGCTTTATTATTGCTGGTATTTTGTACAAGTTGAAAAGAAACTAACCCTAACTCTATTTGTGACCCTGACACTGATCGCAAACACAAAGGAGATGCCAATCCACAGCAGTTCATTGGGGAACCAGAGAAAAATAATCCAGAATCTGATTCATCAAGCTGTGAGAAGAGAAATGGACCAGAGTCAGATGGTGAGTTTTGCATTTTAGGTGAAGAGAAACTCCTAAAGAGCAAGGTTCAGAATGACTATCTGGGCTAGAATCAAACTTGTCACTGGACAAAACAAACACTAGGTTAGCTGCCAAATCTGTTTAGTCTCTATCCAGCAGTGCTGAGGCCTTAATTTAATTGCAATACATTCAATACACCCACAAAATGTTCAATATATTAACGTGTATTTATGAGTCCTTGCTGCAGCGGCCATGGGTTTGAATCCCACCCTTAGCCCTTTTCTGCATGTCACCCCCCCCCTTTCCTGTCTGACTTCAGCTGTCCTATCCAGTAAAAGCAAAAGTCCCCAAAAAATATAATAAATATAAAAGACTATGCGCCTAAATAAATTTAATCCTGTTTTTATTGGACTTTATGAACAAAATAGTACAATTTCATAATTTTCTAACAATATATAATTTTGTGACTGCTAACTCTTAAAAAGGCAGATAAGAAGCTATAACTTCTTCTGAGTGATTTGAGCATAATTGTTTCTTATTTTCTGTATTCCATTTTTAACCTCTTTAATTGTCTGTTTCAGGCTCAGAGCATGAGGCAGATGATGAACCTAAGGACACTGCTGGTGAACACAAGGAAAAGCCTGACTCAAATGAGCTCGCTGTAGAAGCTGCCAGAGAATCAGATTCATTGGCTACCGAGGAGAATCAGTCATCCACAGTTCCTGATAGGAGTGGTTCAGAAACATCAGTACATGACCAAGATTCAAGCTTGTCACAGGAACAAACACACACAAGAGAAGAAAACCAGCAAGAAACAGGCAAACCAGTTTCTGGAGATGAAAATCAGAAGCTGCCAGTATCACCTTCCCAGCAGCCTCAGAGCCCCAAACCAACAACACCTGGCTCAGGTGAGTCTGAGGAGCAGTCAGACCTCATCACAGCAGAGGCAGGTAAAGGTGAGGGAATTATAAGTGATACATGCTGCTGTATAAAGGTTGTTGCAATTTTATTTTGACATCTGGATCTAAAATTGCTTCATAAAGGTTTTTTTTTCTGATTATAGATAATCTGATCAATGAAACTCAAATATCTATTTTCTTCCTCTTCTTTTTGGCCGGAACTGAACGTAATAAAAAGCTCCTAAAAAAGTTAACTCAGTGATTTTAGTGTAATAACTGATGAATTATATAAAGGTTGTTGCAATTTTATTTTGACAGTTCTGACTCTTGATTCTTTACAGGCAATGTTGCGGCTAGGAGAAAAATTTATGAGCCAGAGAACGGAGGTAAGTTTTTTTTTTCAATTATAAATAATCTGATCAATGAAACTAATTATATTAGACACTTAATCAAACTGTTTTATTCATATTTAATTGCTTTATTATTGCTGGTATTTTGTACAAGTTGAAAAGAAACTAACCCTAACTCTATTTGTGACCCTGACCCTGCTCGCAAACACAAAGGAGATGCCAATCCACAGCAGTTCATTGGGGAACCAGAGAAAAATAATCCAGAATCTGATTCATCAAGCTGTGAGAAGAGAAATGGACCAGAGTCAGATGGTGAGTTTTGCATTTTAGGTGAAGAGAAACTCCTAAAGAGCAAGGTTCAGAATGACTATCTGGGCTAGAATCAAACTTGTCACTGGACAAAACAAACACTAGGTTAGCTGCCAAATCTGTTTAGTCTCTATCCAGCAGTGTTGAGGCCTTAATTTAATTGCAATACATTCAATACACCCACAAAATGTTCAATATATTAACGTGTATTTATGAGTCCTTGCTGCAGCGGCCATGGGTTTGAATCCCACCCTTAGCCCTTTTCTGCATATCACCTCCTCTCTCTCTCTCTCTCTCTCTCTCTCTCTCTCTCTCTCTCTCCCCGTTTCCTGTCTGACTCCAGCTGTCCTATCCAGTAAAAGCAAAAGTCCCCCAAAAATGTAATATATATATATATAAAAGAATATGCGCCTAAATTAATTTATTCCTGTTTTTATTGGACTTTATAAACAAATTAGTACAATTTCATGATTTTCTAACAATATATAATTTTGTGACTGCTAACTCTTAAAAAGGCAGATAAGAAGCTATAACTTCTTCTGAGTGATTTGAGCATAATTGTTTCTTATTTTCTGTATTCCATTTTTAACCTCTTTAATTGTCTGTTTCAGGCTCAGAGCATGAGGCAGATGATGAACCTAAGGACACTGCTGGTGAACACAAGGAAAAGCCTGACTCAAATGAGCTCGCTGTAGAAGCTGCCAGAGAATCTGATTCATTGGCTACCGAGGAGAATCAGTCATCCACAGTTCCTGATAGGAGTGGTTCAGAAACATCAGTACATGACCAAGATTCAAGCTTGTCACAGGAACAAACACACACAAGAGAAGAAAACCAGCAAGAAACAGGCAAACCAGTTTCTGGAGATGAAAATCAGAAGCTGCCAGTATCACCTTCCCAGCAGCCTCAGAGCCCCAAACCAACAACACCTGGCTCAGGTGAGTCTGAGGAGCAGTCAGACCTCATCACAGCAGAGGCAGGTAAAGGTGAGGGAATTATAAGTGATACATGCTGCTGTATAAAGGTTGTTGCAATTTTATTTTGACATCTGGATCTAAAATTGCTTCATAAAGGTTTTTTTTTCTGATTATAGATAATCTGATCAATGAAACTCAAATATCTATTTTCTTCCTCTTCTTTTTGGCCGGAACTGAACGTAATAAAAAGCTCCTAAAAAAGTTAACTCAGTGATTTTAGTGTAATAACTGATGAATTATATAAAGGTTGTTGCAATTTTATTTTGACAGTTCTGACTCTTGATTCTTTACAGGCAATGTTGCGGCTAGGAGAAAAATTTATGAGCCAGAGAACGGAGGTAAGTTTTTTTTTTCAATTATAAATAATCTGATCAATGAAACTAATTATATTAGACACTTAATCAAACTGTTTTATTCATATTTAATTGCTTTATTATTGCTGGTATTTTGTACAAGTTGAAAAGAAACTAACCCTAACTCTATTTGTGACCCTGACCCTGCTCGCAAACACAAAGGAGATGCCAATCCACAGCAGTTCATTGGGGAACCAGAGAAAAATAATCCAGAATCTGATTCATCAAGCTGTGAGAAGAGAAATGGACCAGAGTCAGATGGTGAGTTTTGCATTTTAGGTGAAGAGAAACTCCTAAAGAGCAAGGTTCAGAATGACTATCTGGGCTAGAATCAAACTTGTCACTGGACAAAACAAACACTAGGTTAGCTGCCAAATCTGTTTAGTCTCTATCCAGCAGTGTTGAGGCCTTAATTTAATTGCAATACATTCAATACACCCACAAAATGTTCAATATATTAACGTGTATTTATGAGTCCTTGCTGCAGCGGCCATGGGTTTGAATCCCACCCTTAGCCCTTTTCTGCATATCACCTCCTCTCTCTCTCTCTCTCTCTCTCTCTCTCTCTCTCTCTCTCTCTCTCTCTCTCTCTCTCCCCGTTTCCTGTCTGACTTCAGCTGTCCTATCCAGTAAAAGCAAAAGTCCCCCAAAAATGTAATATATATATATATATAAAAGAATATGCGCCTAAATTAATTTATTCCTGTTTTTATTGGACTTTATGAACAAAATAGTACAATTTCATAATTTTCTAACAATATATAATTTTGTGACTGCTAACTCTTAAAAAGGCAGATAAGAAGCTATAACTTCTTCTGAGTGATTTGAGGATAATTGTTTCTTATTTTCTGTATTCCATTTTTAACCTCTTTAATTGTCTGTTTCAGGCTCAGAGCATGAGGCAGATGATGAACCTAAGGACACTGCTGGTGAACACAAGGAAAAGCCTGACTCAAATGAGCTCGCTGTAGAAGCTGCCAGAGAATCTGATTCATTGGCTACCGAGGAGAATAAGTCGTCCACAGTTCCTGATAGGAGTGGTTCAGAAACATCAGTACATGACCAAGATTCAAGCTTGTCACAGGAACAAACACACACAAGAGAAGAAAACCAGCAAGAAACAGGCAAACCAGTTTCTGGAGATGAAAATCAGAAGCTGCCAGTATCACCTTCCCAGCAGCCTCAGAGCCCCAAACCAACAACACCTGGCTCAGGTGAGTCTGAGGAGCAGTCAGACCTCAGCACAGCAGAGGAAGATAAAGGTGAGGGAATTATAAGTGATACATGCTGCTGTATAAAGGTTGTTGCAATTTTATTTTGACATCTGGATCTAAAATTACTTCAAAAAGGTTTTTTTTGTCTCTAATTATAGATAATCTGATCAATGAAACTTACATTTTTATTTTCTTCCTCTTCTTTTTGGCAGGAACTGAATGCAATGTAAAGCGCCTAGAGAAAGGTAACTCAGTGATTTTAGTATTATAGCTGATCAATTATATAAAGGTTGTTGCAATTTTGTTTTGACAGTTCTGACTGTTCTTTACAGGGTATGTTGTGAATATGAAAAACAAGTTTGAGTCGAATTAAGGTAATTTTTTGTTTGTAATTATAGATAATCTAAACAGTGAAACTCATTTATATTAGACGCTTAATCAAACTGTTTTATTCATATTTAATTGCTATATTGCTGGTATTTTGTAAAAGTCGAAAGGAACCATAGCCATTACATTTCTTGCAGGCCACATCTCACATACATAAAATAGTTATAGTTAATTATTAAATTATTATTAAAATCCCTATGTATGACCCTGACCCTGCTCGCAAACACAAAGAAATCAAACTAGAATCAAAGTTGTCACTGGGCAAAACAAACACTAGGTAAGCTGCCAAATCTGTTTAGTCTCTACCCAGCAGTGTTGAAAAATAAACTGCATGGATGTTTTATTAAATGATGATGCCGAATTTTATTTTGGTTTTGATTTTGTTTCGGTGTCAGGCAAATAGAAAATAGACCTTGTTTCAGTAGATATCCATGATCTGTAGCCCTGCTCAGACTCTGATTCTAACAAAGGGTTTAATCTGAGCCCAGCCATACAACAATGATAGCAGTCATACAGGCTTAGTAGTATATGCTTGTTTAAAATAATATATGTAGATATTTTTCAACATGCATGTATTAAATCGGTATGCAAACTTTAGGTATTAGTATCAGGAAGGAGTGTGTAACATTTAGGAGGGGAAATGGAGTATAATATTCATTAGTGTATAATCAACTGAAAATAAGAACTGTTGTGTTTTCGGGTCGTCTTCTGTGGAGGCTGCCATGTAGGACAAACCAAACACTGGCTATAGATAGGGCCTTGTCAAATTTTGTTTTTGCAGCACCATGTTTTCTCCTTTATATTTGATTTCAAATAGATGCTATCTGCAACACTACCGCTAGATGCCACTAAATCCTATACACTGCTTCTTAAATTATTTAATAATAACTTCAATAATACTTCTAATTTTATAAATAATAATTAATAAATATATTCTTGGTATAGTATCATAGAAAGAGTTGATTTAACCGTTGAGATAATTGTTTCAGACTGTTGTTGTGAACATTTATTGTGTTCTTGACATCAACCAAAATGGCAGAAACCAAGACTCGTTCTGGGTGATCTGAACCTATTTTGTATTTCCTGTTACAGGTTCAGGGAAAGGAAGAGAAGGTGAGGATGAAGAATAAAACCCTGCTCCTGCTAGCCTAAAGGACGCTGCTGATAAGGAAGAGTCTGACACAGATCAGCTTACTGGAGAAAATGTCAGAGAGCCTGATTCATCAGGTATTCATCAGGAAAGAAACAAATTATGTGACTCTGCCAAGGTGAAGCAGTCAACCACCATTCCTGAAAAGAAAAGTCCAAAAACATCAGAACATGAGCACGATTCAAATTTGTTAGAGGGCGAAACAGACACAGGAAAAGACATAAAGCAAGAAACAGACAAACTTTCTAAAGATGAAAATGAAACAGATAATGTGGGTGAGTGTGAAGAGCAGTCAGACAGCAGCAGAGCAGAAGCAGATCATGGTGAGGGTGGTGTCCAGTGTGACTCAAAAGAAGACCCAGACAACAAGAGTTTGACTGATTAGGGACAAAAGAAAGGTGATTCATACAATTGGATAAATTAGAAAAAGACAATTAATTACAGAAGAAGTTGATGAAAGTGAAATTGTTTTAAATACAATGTAGCAGAAAGGAAAAGATCAATACACAGATAAAGAGTACGGAGGACCACATCCCAGTCCAGGGGAAGACAAATATTTTGCGGGACTGTAGGAAATTTATGATCGAGATATGGACATTGCAGTAACAGTCACTGAGGACAGAAAGCAAAAAATACGAAGACGTTATGTAAATGACAAAGATGGACAGTTTTCTATCAGGTCCGCAGTAGATTGAAAGCAGATGGGTAGTTTATCTGTCTCAGTTGCTTGCTCCTTTTTTTTTTAAAGCAATATGATATAAAAGTTCTCCTTAAAACCAGTGTCCACCCCTGTGGACAAAACAATAGTGTTTCCATCGCCTTGTTTCATTGATTTCAAGGGGAAGGGGAGTCCAACCCGGTGGCAGGCATTAAGAATATTTCATCTTGCTAATATTCACCGATCAGCCACAACATTATGACCACTGACAGGTGAAGTGAATAACACTGATTACACTGAAGGGCCAAATTGTGATGCTCAACGACTCTCTTGTGGGGTGTTACCGGTCTGCAGTGAACCGGAAACAGGGTCATGGGCTGTCTGAGGCTCATTGATGCATGTGGGCAGCGAAGACTGGCCCGTCCAACAGACGAGCTACTGTAGATCAAATTACTGAAAAAGTTAATGCCGGTTCTGACAAAAACATTATGACCATCAGGGTTCCCAGGTGGTCGTAATGTTGTGGATTATCAGTGTAATTTGTTTATAGATCCTACAGATCTATCAGTATTAAACAGACAGTTTCTTAACCAGTTAAAATCTTCTTGTAGTATGTTTAAAAGACTTCCCTTGTTTTTTTTGGTTAGACTTCTGATTCAAAATTAATTTTGATTGACAGCTTGGCCACTGATTGGTAAATCTGAAAAACACACAGTAATTGGGGGTGTGGTATAGTTAGAGTCAATATTTTATCTCATTTAATCTGTTTTCTCTCTTTCACACATACACACATGTTTGAAACTGACATTTTTTACTGTATTCTGCTACAACGTTTTGGTAGGATATCTGAGTTTATTGATTATTTTCAAGTCAAGAGTACCAGAAGTTAAACACTAATATTGTTTTTCTCATGCTATGACATTTGAGCTTACACTAAGGTGTAATACAAGCTTATGATAAGCTAATATAAGCTTAGCTAAAAGAACGTCAGCGACTAATGATTGTTTTCATGACTTGTTCATCTGCAGATTATTTTCTCAATTAATCAATGAATAGTTGGATTATTGTCGGGACTACTTCTAAAATTGGACTATGAGCCTAGGCGATATCTTCAAATGTCTTATTTTGTCCGATCCATCAGGCCAAAACCCAAAGATATTCAGTTTGCCATCATTTAAGACCAATAGAACTAAACAACCTCACAATAAAGAAGTGAGTTTGTTAACTGGCATTTTTAGCTTGAAATATATGTGATGTGATTTTATGTTGTCTATCTACAAATACGTAAAAGTAGCTATCATACCCACTTTTAAAGAGGGTTAATTGTAACATATTTGTTCTTCTGTGTATTTAGAAATGTTTTGTGCACTGATTTATTCTTGTTGAGACCAGCTGATTTCTGCTAGGCTGTTGTTGTTTTATGGAGCTCAGGGTATATTTGTGCATATATCATATATGAATACTTGAATTATTTTTGATTTCCATGAATAAAAGATAGATTTTATTTTTTATTTTGCTTACCTTTCTCCTGCTGTTGATGGATGTTTTGGAAATGTTTCTTTGCACTAATTATTAAAGGCTATGCCAGTGTGAGTAGTAGCCTTTTGTATATAATGAAAGCTCAGATTCAGATATTTGACTGTATTTACACTCAAAAGCTGAGTGATGGAGCCAGAAAAGGCCTGTATTGGGGGAAATGATTGTTAAACTGATTTGCAATACAATGTTAATAAACTGTGTGTTTGACAGCTTGGTACAACAAATCTACAACCTGCACAGATAAAACATACTGAATTAGGTGATATTGGTAAGTAACTGTAAGGACTCCTTTGTCTCAGTAGGGGGCAGTGTTTATTAGCGCTTACCAGTCATGGACTGACTTAGAAATGAGTTGTTTTTGGATCTTAACACTGATGTGGTTGAAGGACACCTTCAGCTATAAAGACAAAATGAACAAATACACAGTTGAAAAAGGTGACACTTTAATGTGGTTTCAAAAGAAAAGTATAACAGAACATTTATCTAAAGTCTGTAAACATACAGATATGTGCTATTCCTTTCATTTGAGCGCATGGTGATGATGAAGAGTTGTATAAATACAATGTGTACGGACGTGCAGGGCCTCAAATAAATTTTGGTGCAGTTTAATGTGTCTAATGAAATGGGCAGTTACATCACAAGTTGAATTACTAAGGTCTACATAATTGAAGGTGAATTTATTGAGAAGCAAAACAGCTGCCACAGTAAACCAGCAGTCAAACCAAGTAAAGCGCTCAGTGATGTAAATGCATGAAACGCAGGTTCACCCACTGCTGGATGACAAGCTGGTGTAGATTTCTAAAGGTACTAGTTGGGCCATGTGAGAAAGTCATGCATGATTAGTTTAACCTCTGAGTCATGGAGAAGTCTGTGATCTGCTACCACCTGACCTGTGGGTTCAGGACACAAGCAGGGAATGAACACTATCGTATTTCAGTGGTCGCAACAAATACCAAGGGGATATTAGAGTATTGAATTATTTGTTGGGATCGGGGCTGTGCCTCCTCGGACGAGCGAGGGTCACAATGTGGTTCCACTGAGATGTTGTTGATGAGTTGATGGCAGCAGGGCCCTCAAATCCTGGCTCAGTCTTCCAATGGAGCGATGGTTCCTCCGTGCCAGCATATTCTTACACAAACATCTTTTCTCTGGGATGATTGTTACAACAAAGAGGCTTTTTTTTTTTTTTTTTTTGTATTTCCTCTATTTTGAAGGAACATGACAATGTCATGCCGGCCTTACTGGCCAGTGTATGTCTGTAAAAGTGCGAGTACTTGTTTCCTTTTCCACATCATATAGTTACATTACACTGGAGTATAGTGGTCCTTCAGATACAGACCCAATTACACTTTTCTCCTAAGATTGTAAAGGTCCTTTTGGCCTTGCTGCAATAGGAGAGAAGGGGAAAAAAAGAAGAATGGGCCACCCTCCAGAACTGCCTTTTATACCAGGTTGATTAGCATGCTGGGTTGTTTAAATTGCCTCCTGGAGGGCTGACGTGAAATCGAACAATATCCTCTGGCTTTAGAGACTAGCCCCATAGCTTCTCATTTATTTTTATGCAGAGTTAGGACAGACCTTGGCTCTACTCCACTGAGGAAGCTGAGCCCAGGGGGGGGCCAGGTCTGGGTAGGTCAGGACAAATCAATTAATATCAGCTCAATAAAAGTTCTTGGCTCTTTCTAGGCCATACTTTACTGTGACAGTGCAACCTGGGAGCCCACCATAATTATGTGGATAAATTGTTAAGTGTGGTTGAGACATTATAATGAAATAATATCCCTTTCCTATCTCTATAAAAGACCTCTATTAAGGCCTGATTTGTCTTTGGACCCTGCTTTTATGAGAAGTGATAGTAGAGCATTGTTTGTCATTGTTATTATTATACTATATTAAACAAAGTCTCCCTCTTGGGTGATGATGTTTATGACTGTGTATTTGCTTCCAACTCAACCTCTATGCTCTTATTTTTCTGCTAACATTTGGTCATCATGTAAAATTCAAGTGTGCCCAAGGCAGAAATATTATTATACCCATGGTGGCGACCAGCACAGTGGAAACACTTATTAATATACTACTTATATACCTATAAATGCTACAAATGGGTCAGATAAAATAGGTGTAGGGTAGAAGATTGAAAGCTGTTTGACTGTCCTCCAAAAAAAGAACCAAAAATGATCCCAGTAGTCAGATCTAATTCAAGTATCCGGAGCAGATTTCTGTAGACATGTACGGCTATCACGTTGTCATAACTCCACTAATAAGGAACTTAATTTGAGGATGTTATCTACTGTTTGTTGTGCTTGAACAACGCAGCGTCGATCAAACACAGCGGAGTTGCCATATTTATATTTGGTGACCACAATATAAACACTGGTTATTAGAGCTCCGGGCTGAATGAAGGTGTACACAGTGGCAGCCATGTTTGCGTGAGTCTCACCATGGATTCCTTATCATCAGAACAGCTTAAAGCTAATTACAGACATCTCCTTGTGGCTTTGCAGGAGTTTGGGATTTGGTCATGTCTTTGTGTGCCTGCACACTTTCTCCGTCGCGCAACCTCTTGGCAATAGTTTCACTCTGAAACATCAGTTGTTAAAGTCAATAAGTAAATATTTTCTTCTGTGCGGCCAGAAAAATCTTTGAGTATTTATGTGTTATTATTATAGTTTCTCTTCGGCATTTACTGTGGAGACAGTTTTCATCTTTGTGGTAGCGACACAGAACCTGGCCTGATTTGTGGATTTTATCTGAACAATATGGGCACAAGGCTAAGCCTGAGACAAATAATACTTGGTGTAAAAAAGGGCACTACTTCTTTTATCAAGAATTGGAAAAAACACGTAGTTTTACTATAGTGTAACATATGTTGTTTTTAGAGATTTTAGTGTCATTTGTTTGGTGTGCCACTTTGGTCCAGCTAAAAAAAGCTATTGGATAGATTGCCATAACTCTTTGTTCAGACATAATCCCGACAAATCAAAAATAGTGACCTCAGTGATCCACTGACTTTTCTTCTAGTGTCACAAGCAGTTTGACATTTATGGGTTTTGGTGTCATACTTTATGTTCTTACAACTATTGGATGGATTGTCATTTGATTTAATTGAAATTTGATTTAGACATTTAGCTGCATATACTTACTATACTTGCAAAACTAATGACAATCCAGTCAGTCTCAGCACAAGGGGAACATGACACCTGAAAAATCACCGTAGCATTGTCATTGTAAGCATGTTAGCAAAGCTGCAACCATGATAGTAGACTCTTGTTCTGTGTGTGTTCTTCTGCAATTTCTCAAGACAATAGTGATATGATAAGTTTTTTTTCTTCTTTAAGTGAATGATGGGATCCAGCTCTCATCTGAGTGCTGATTGCTTCTTCCCATTTACATAAACTAATACAAGACAGAAAAATATTATCCTATAATGTGTTTATTTAATACAATCCAGAAATGTTTCACTTTCACACGTCACCCACATACATAGTTTAATATAAATACAACTCTTTCATTTGTGTAAATGTGTAAAATGCTATATATTAGTGTGATTAATAGAAGGTGTGTAACATTTAGGAGGCTTTATTATATGATATAATATACATAGGTATGTTTTCAATAGTCTATAATTGCTTGAATCGATATGTTTTTATTGCCTTAGAATGAGGCATTTACCTACAGACACCGCAGGTCGCCTTCCATGGAGTCCGCCATGTTGAACCATCATGTTTCTAGTGTAGCCCAGAACAGACAAACCAAGCACTGGCTGTAGATAGGCCTGTTTTTCCCCTTTGCGCTCGGAAGGGGAGGGTGCCACTAAATCTCACACACTCGACCTTTCAGGTTTTTATAACAAGCCTGATGTACATTTATGGTATTCTGGAAATGATGAGGTTTAGCACATTATATTGAATAATTTAAGTGATGTATGTGCACACATACCAATCATAGGTCAAATCATTGCTAAATTTAGGTAAATAACAAAGCCAGAAGTGGTAGTACTAAATGAAGAACTGTTTGGATGCCTAAAGAACCGACTAATCTGTCTCACTAAAAAGAGACGAAATACCTATCACTACAAGAAAATCTGTCATTTAAAATTGATAAAAGACCAGCAGAGCATGAAGCCTTTTGAGACAGATTTACATACACCATTCTCTCGCAATGAGCACCACTCATCATCTGGTTTCACACTCTTGTGCGTAAAACAACCAGCACCATATGACGCTATTTGTCAAAGATATGCTCTGCACAACTTGTTGAACACCCTTGACTTTGCATAGACGAAGCTGTCACAGAAGCTTATGTTCTCCATTTTCTCACATTTTTAAACTACTCTGTAACCATTTGTAATTAACTTTGGAGTGGAAAAAATATGCATAGCGCTTTTCAACTATTTGAAATATATCCTTTCAGCAACACGGACAGACAGTTTCTGAGATCCAGCAGAGGGAATCACTTTGTTTTTGTTTTCTGTTGTCATGTGCATGTGTTCCTGTAAATACTTTTCTCAACAGTTGAGCCGCTCAGTTCTTTGTCAGTGTTTTATTTGAACAAGCTGCCTGTCAATGTGCCACATTGACGTATCTGCGCTTGTGCACTTGCAGAACCTGACACAATTCTCTTGTGGCAAAATGGAAAACACTTGCAGCATACCGCCTGCCTCATATTGTCTGATGGGAAGATTAAAGCCAATCCAAACTAAATTCACTCTCTTCAACTCTGAGTTGGTCGATGGTGAGACCACCAGAGGGGAAGAGCTCGCTCAACTATGTCATCAGATCACATTATCACTGGTCTCCTGCTCTCCTCTTCTGTCTGCCTTTGTCTTCCTGAGTTTGCCCTCTGCTTCTTAGTAACATTTCTCATCCCTCGCTGTTGCCTCTCTTCTCTTGAGTGTGATAAGAAATTATAATGACTTCACCAAAATAACATACTGCATTTGAGTGGTACTCAACACAGTTTTTGTCCCAGGCTTTGAATATAATCATCTTATATTCACTTATACTTGACTCTAATACTCCCTAATGGGAGGAAATAATGTGTTGGGGCTTCAGCTCAAG